TTTTTTGGTATTGAGGATCGAACTCGAGTCCTTCCGCTTGCGAGGCAGGCGGTGGAACCACTGAGCTAAATTCCCAGCCCTCTGCTGTATTAATGGGTTTACTTTATACATGATGTTCTGCTTTTCTTTGATAGTTTTTAAGATTCTTTTTGTTGGACATCTTGGGTTTTGAGTATGATGTTTTGTGGGGAGCTTTTTTAAAATCATAATTAATTGGTGTTCTGTATGACTCACTTACCTGTACGCTGAAATCCTTTCTCATACTTGGAAAGATTTTGTTAAGCTTTCTATAAACAGATTTTTAAATTCTGTGTGTGCTGTCTTCTACTTTGTAATTATCCTTAAATTAGTCTTTTATTAAGTGCCATCTAATAGCTGTTGAATGAGTTTTTCCTGTCATTTTTAAGACTTCTCTGAGTAATTTGTCATGATTTTCCATTTTGTCCTCGAGTTTAGAAACCCTATCTTCACATTCTGTAATTCATGAATTCTATACTTTTTATCTTCTTTCTGTCTGGCATGTTTTTATAGAGTCTCTCTCTGATAAATCTGTCATTCATATTAACAATTTTGGTCAGCACTTCCAATTTAAAAAAATTTTTTTCTCCCATATTCAAATTGGTCGATTTGTGTGTTGGTTCCATCTTTTTGGGTCATTTCCTCTTTGAACTTGCTAAGTTTCTTTAGTTCTTCTTAAGGAAAGTTTAAATTGACACATTTGTGCTTATTTATGAATTACAGTGTGATGTTTTGATTCATTTATACACTGAGTTGTGATTAACTCAGGGTAATTCGCATATCCGTCACCTTAAACTTTTAACATAACTTTATGGTGAGTATATGTGGGTTTTGTCCTACATCTTCTTTCAAAATGACTCATTTCCTTTCCTTTTCTTCTTCCCTCCCTTTCTCTCTCTTTTTTTTGTATTGAGGATTGAACTGAAGGCCTCATGAATGCTAAGCAAGTGCTATACCACTGAGCTACATCCTCAGCCCTTTTTTAATTTCCTAAAATTTGAGACAGGGTCTCACTAAATTGCCCAGCTGACCTTGAACTTTCGATCCTTCTATCTCAGCTATTACAGGTAGGCACCACCTTGCCAAATGCTTGGGCTCATTTCCTTTTTGAAAAAAAAAATTTCATTATTACCAAGTCTGGCCATGGAAGACAAAATTTAAGGATTTTGGAATCCTTGGTCAGAGTTCTAGAGTACTGATCAGCAAATCTTTTCTGTGAAGGCCAGTAGGCAAATAGGTTAGGCTTTGCGGGTCACATGGTCTCTATTGCAACCATACAATTCTGCTGTCTTAGGGAGAAAATGTAAAACCAATGAAGGGTGGTTATTTCAATACAACTTTATTTACAAAAATGCATAGTGAGCCAGATATGGCTCAGGGCTATAGTTTGCTAGCCCTGTTCTAGATACTTACTATGTTCCCAGAGTCAAGTCCTATCCTTAGGGAGGAACTGCTCTTGAGTCTGAGATACTGGCTAATCCAGATCTGCTTTGGACAGGCCACATTTTTAAAATGCTGTTTTGTGGGTTCCAGAGGAGGGCTGCACTGTTTATTCCCCTACTCCCTGACGACGGGTAATTAGGTTGTGTCTGATTGGCAGAGTTTGTATAGCAATTCCATGGCCACCAGAATCTTAGCACGTCACCTGATGTGGTCTCCCTGTCCAGGGCCAGGGGCAAGGTGAAACACTGTCGCATCAACCGGGATGGCCGTCACTTTGTGCTGGGGACATCTGCCTATTTTGAGAGCTTGGTGGAGCTTGTCAGTTACTATGAGAAACATACCCTCTACCGAAAGATGCGGCTGCGGTACCCTGTGACCCCTGAGCTCTTGGAGCGCTACAATATGGTAGGTGGTTCTGTGCCCCTGGCTTGGTTCCTTTATTGGGCAACCCTTTAATAAGTACTTGCTGTGTAACAGGTATTCTCCAGGTCCTGGGGATACAAAATTGGATGCAGTGGACAGAGATCCTGCTTGCATGCTGCTTATAGTCTAGCTTGGGGAAAACAGACAATAAGAAAATATTGCATAGTAAGTGGCAGATGGTAATAAATGCTAAGGAAAAGAACTGAGGAGGATAAACAGATCCACAATGACAAGAAAAATGTTGCATTTTTCAAGAGGCTTGGGAAGATCTCACTGAGGAGTGAGCCTTGTAGCCTTCTAGAGGAAGACAAGACAGCAGGTGCAAAGGTCCCAAGGTGAGATGGAGACTGCCTGGAGGCCCAAACTGGAAGCTGGAATGGCTGTAATTAGGGGGGGTAGAAGTAAGTAAGGTTGCAGGTCCAAAGGGGGCTGGATCATGTAGGGCCTTGTAGTCCACTTAAGGCACTGCCTTTTATTCTGTTAGAGGAGGAGACCTGATATAGGTACTGTGTCTCACTTCCTATCAGATGGACTCATTCATTTATTGAAAAGGGATTTGTTGGACCTTGACCATATGCCTGGAACATATGTTCTCATTTACCTTGGGAAATTCAGGTCCCAGAGAGGAGAAAGAATGCAGTGACATAAAAGGTGTGTTTTCAGGGAGCAGGACTGGGTAGCCTGAGATAAGGGAGCACCACCGTACATTGGGGTGGTCAGAAAAGGCCACCATTAGAGGATGGAAGGGGAGAGGCCTTGGGGAGGTGAGAAGGGAGATGCAGCTGGTTGTAGAGGGAGTGGACTGGCATGGCCCTGCAGGGTAACAGGAAGGCATGGGGGAAGGGGAGATGTGGGGCACAGAGGGGAGAGACTGGAGAGGGGGCTTAGCAGCAGGGTACTGGTGACCTTTCTGGGGGAAGGCCCTGGTGGGTGGCACTTGCCAGTTTCTGGTTGTGACTACTGCCACAGTGGTTTGGTGGTCCACTGCAAGTTCTTGCATGCTGTCTGAACATGGAGTCAGCAGGAGAGGCACACCGTGGGCTCCTGCAAGCCGTGAGCTTGCTTTAGGATATGGTGGGAGCTTTGGGTTTATATTTTCCCAGAGGAATAGACAGTGCCTGGCACGTAGTAGGCCAGCATAGGGGCCTTTCTGATTTGGGCTTGTTTCTAAATTTGGGGAAACTTCTTTATTGCTTCTTGTTGTCTAGCCATGGGTCACAGAAAATACATGAGGTTTCAGGCCTTGTACCAAAGGACAGGGAACTGGAAGGAAGCCTGCAGCCATGCTGGGTACAAGGGCTATTTGTTTCAGGGGGATAGGGTATTCCATTTACCTCTCTTTGTTCTTTTTATTAGGAAAGAGACATAAACTCCCTCTATGACGTCAGCAGGATGTATGTGGATCCGAGTGAGATCAACCCTTCTATGGTATGGTGCTGATCCTTATTATCACTAGATTAATGTGGATTCCAGGCTCAGCCCCTTTCCCCTGTAGCAATTATAACAGAGCAAGAGAACATTCTGGAAAACTTAGCCAAAGCAATTTTTTTTTTTTTTTGGTACCAGGGATAAAATTCAAGACCTTGTGCTTGCCAAAAAAAAAAAAAAAAAAAAAGTTTTTAAAGAAGAAGTGATTGGCAATTACACCAAATATATTTTCAGGAAAAAGGTTAATAGAACTCCATCCAAATGCAGCTCTGTTTTGCTAAAATCCTCAGGTTTGATGAACCAGTATCAGGCCAAATGGCTTCCAATTAAAAGTCTTCCATCGGGCTGGGGATTTAGCTCAGTGGTTCTGCCACTTGCCTGGCAAGCACAAAGCCCTGAGTTCGGTCCCCGGTAACGGACAGGGGGAAAAAAAAAGTCTTTCAAATGTTTCTTGCTGGCTGACTGAGCCTGTGGTGTTTATACATTCTATCTGGTTCGCTGACCTCCTTGTGATGCAAACGCTATCTCAGATTCCCACCCTGCCTCTGTCGTAGAGTTTCTTGCAGGTAGGGATGGATTTTGCTTTTAGGCCCCAGCTCCCAGTTTTGTCTCAAACTTAGTCTGAGCTGATGGAGGGAGAACATTTTCTGTCTGGCCTGAGACTAGTATACAGCACTCACTTAGCAAGGGGCCCTTCTGGTGGGCTCTGTTGAAATTACAGACACAGTGTTTTTTTAAAAATTTACAATCCTTGACCAATGCAAATCTTCAGCAAGAAATGAACCCTTGACAAATCGTATGCAAAGGGCATTTGCTAGTAGCAAAATGTTTTATTAGAAGTGAGCACTGTTTGGTAATGGGCAAGGTCACCTCTCTTCCCCAGGCAGGGGTTTCGAAGATTTAACTAGTGCCCTTAAGAGGAATGTCAAGCAGACTGCATGTCTTTCTCCTTGATGGGATGGTAGATCTGGAGCTTATTTTGAATGGCTTTCATGTCTTTCCTTTTAAACATAATTTCATAAAACAAGACTGCCAACTCAAATGTCCCTAAAGGCCAGGCAGAAAACAGGTGAGTAGAGCCATCCGGGCAGAAGAAATATTTCTCAGTCTCTCCATTCAGCCACGACAATGATAAAAAGAGCAAAAGTTTGGTGACAAGTGGCAGCTGGCATTTGGCCTCATGTCAGTTGGTGGCAGGGGTGTCAGCAACCACGGTCACCTGAGGGACACCCCTCCACCTCAAGGGTAGATGCCTTCAGCTGGTGTGAATTTTTGAGAGGACAGGCCAGGGCTTCTGACTTCTCAGGACAAGCTAGAAATCTGAATGTTTTATGTGAAATCTCCCAATGTGAAAATTGTGGCTCCTAAACACGCTGTAGAGAAAAACCTTCCTGTATAAACCAAGTAGGTGCCCTAGAACATGATTGTGTGCTGAGCTTCCTGTCAAGCTGCCGGGCTAAAATGAGGACCTCAAAGTAAAATTACTACTGTGATTTTGAAAAGTACAGTAAGAATTAAAGAAAGCACACTGACAAAAGGAAAAAAGAATCGGCCATGCCCTTGGCCTCCCTAAGGAGCAGTTGGTGCAGTTGGGGTCTTCCTTCTCTGCTGGTCCTCGCAGCCCCAAACCTGCCATTTTGAGTCTACTCTGCTGCTTGCTGCTTCGTCCCTGTAGTCTTCGCCACTGGGAATCTTCGTGGCTGCTTTGTCAAACCCGGTACGCTGGGCAATTCGGATGAGGTACGTAGATTGGGATTTTAACATGGTCTTAATGCTGAAGAATATTCTGGTAACTGCCAGCTTAGCTCTTTCCCTGTCATCAGCCATTTGGGTCAGTCCTAGGTTTGCTCTTCTAGTTAATACTAAAAGGAACTTCTTCATGCACAAGATGCTAGGAATTTTGTATTTTCTCCTTCAGTTTTTAGAATTGGAAGGAGCAGATCAATGATAACAGGTACCATGTGCTGATGGCCACACAATTGGCACTGTTCTAAGCACTTGGCCATGGTTAGTTAATCTTCCTCAGTTCCACAAAGCAGGTCCTGTTTTGGTACCCTCTGTACAAATGTGGAGATTTAGATAAATGGAGGTCAAATAATTGCTAAGGACAGCTGTGGTGTGGAGCTGGGTCTGGACAGAGACAGGCTGGCTCTGAAGCGTGTCTTCTTGGTTACCTGGCTATGCCCATGGCCATTTGGTGATCTGGTGGGAGGTCTGTTACTGCAGCTTAAGAGGACATCTCTTGCTATCTGATAGGCTGGAGACTTTCTCCATGTGGAAGGTCTGCCTGACTTGCACTACATTTGGCACCTCCTCTGCCACCAGCTGTCCGAGCCTGGGGTCTAGAGCCAGGCTCTCATCTTTGTGTCCATCCTGGGTGGAAGCCATCCCTTGTGCATGCAGAGAAGAGAAGGGAGGGCAGAGGATTCAAGTTAGAGGTTCCCACAGCAGAAAATCCATAACACTTTCTATGGAACATTTTAAACTATAGGGACAACTCACATTAACTAATTCAGTTCTGAGCTTGGCTACTTACCACCTGTGTCACCTTGGGAAAGGTGTGTCATTTCTCTATATCCCTATTTCCTTATCTGTGAAATGGGTGCAGTATGACTGCTCCCACCCCATCCAGCTGGTTGTGAGGATTATAGGAGACACTGTGAGCAAAAAGGGTTACAGCAGGGCTTTGACCTTGTTGAGAACGTAAGAAATTCAAGTTCTTGTCACTTTTGTCATTACATGTATTACCTCCCTTATAGTCTCAGCAGTCCTGGGGAATATGCAAAATTTTAATTCCCATTTCACAGATGGGGAAGCTGAGCCTCAGAGAACCTCCAGCTTACATAGCTAGGAAGGAGCAGTGGAGTGATTTGAACCTGTGTCTGACTCTGTTGCCCATCGCAGGAGCAGTTTTCCTGACTCAAGGAATTCCTGTTCCCATTTTCTTTGGGCGGGAGGAGAGGCAAGCCACTGATCCTGGGAATTTGATTATTTGTGAGGCTTCCATGAATATTTTCTTGCCCTGTGGGTGTGCATTTTGGCATGGTTTATGCTTGCCTGGCAGCAGGCAAGTGTGTTGAAGAAAAGGTTTTTCTTGGTTATGTTCTTTCTCTCCCTGCCCACCCAGAGCCCACCTGGGATGAATTTCACTTCAGTTGCCCTTGCAGAATGCAGGGTCTTGCCGAGTGGATAGCTGGCCTAGGTCATAACGGTGGCAAGGCCCCTGCTCAGCCAGAACAGCTGCCCTTGAACCTCTGGGAGAGTTGAGAATGGCAGCCCCTGATGACTTCAGAGGTGGTGGTTGTGGCTTAATCTGAAGGGAAAATCCTTTCTTTGCTGAGGGACTCAAGCAGTGTTGTCACTCGCAGGTGCCCTTGGCTAACCAGGCCAGTCTGCTCACCACCTGTCCCCCTGGGGACTTTGGGGGGTGGGGTGGGGAGTGTTGGCTCCTCTGCAATGCCTGCTCCTCACCAGCAGATGGCAATGGAACCCAAACGTCTGCCACCTCCAGCTCCTAAATGACAAGAAAATGGCTCCAGCACAGGAGCTGGTGTCCTGGGCTCCTGTCACCTACCTGACCTCCTCCCTCCTGTTTTCTCCGAAAGCCTCAGAGAACCGTGAAAGCTCTGTATGACTACGAAGCCAAGCACAGTGACGAGCTGAGTCTGCCGAGGTGCCCTCATCCACAACGTCTCCAAGGAACCCGGGGGCTGGTAAGGCTGCCAGGGGCTGGTGGCCTTGATGTCCCTCTTCTGCTGGTGACACATGCTGACCCAGCTCTGAGCCCCTCTGACATTCTCGGTGTAGACCTGTCATGCTGAGTCCCTGGGAAGGTGGCCTGGTGCATCCTCCATGAGGGGAAGTGGGTAAAGCGTTGATATCAATCAGATTGTATGTTCTGCATCACCATGTGGTGTATATTACCGCAAGTGCAGCAGCTGTTACTGCTCATGGAGAGCTCCTGTGTCCCAAGCACTTGACTGCTGTCATACATACCAAATCTGTGGAGTTGCGACTATGACTGCATCCACTTCACGGATGAGGCCACCGGGCTTTCCAGGGTCACACGGCTGCAGGCTCCTCCCATGGCACAAGCCTGCACCCTACCTTCCATTCAAATTCTTATGCTATTGCTTAGTCATGTGCTCTGGCCCACGGGCCCCTCCTACACGGAAGCAAGGACATTTTCAGGGCACAAGTGTCTGGGTTTCCTCAGATTTGCTAGTAGTCTCTTTCTCTTTGTTCACCTTGGAAGAAAAATTTGCTGCCCATCAACAGGTGCCAGGGCAAGTGGTTCTGTGTGTGAGAGCAGTGAGGATTTGGCCTTAACCAGGACCATGGGCAGAGGTTCTGGCACCCGACAAGACCAACATTTCTTCCTCCCACAAGGTCACTGAACCTGGCTTAGAAATCGCAACAGCAGCTTGTGCTGAGCTTCAATATGTCAAGCACTGTTCTAAGCACTTCCTTTGAAAGCTCATTTAATCCCCCAATGACCTGGTGCGGTCAGGGTGTTATCTTCTATTGCTGTGACACAATCCTGGACACAAATCACCTAAAGGAGGAAAGATGTATTTTGGCTCAGTTTCGATCGGTGGTCGGTAGCTCCAAGGCAGACACATCAGGGTAGAAGGGCACAGGAGGAAGTTGCTCATCCAGGGCCGCTGGGAAGCACAGAAGGAAGGAGAGGACAGGGTCAGGGACGAGACCGTCCCTTAAGCTACATTCCCAGGTCCACTTCTTTCAACTAGGCCCCTCCTAAGTTTCTGTCACCTCCCAGTGCCACCAAATTATGGACACAATGATGGATGAACCCACTGATAGAGTCGGAGTCCTCATGATCCAGCCCCTCCCAAAGCCCCACCCTGAACACCCGAGCCTTTGGGGGATATTTTAGGTCCACAACAGTTCTGTTGGTAGCTGTACTTTATGGATGAGGAAACTGAGGCGTGGAGAAGTATAGTGACTTGTCCAGGGTAACACAGTAACTTGAGATTTGAACTCAGGCCTCTGACCCCAGAGCCCACAACGTAACTGCATTCACATGGGGGGCCTTTTCCCGTGCTCCTGCAGGGGCCCTCGTCATGGATTCTATATTGTTTTAAAGTCAGGAGAACCTTCTCACCCCAGAGCTGTTCTTCCCTGGGTCCCAGACTCCAAAGCAGGTCAAAGATCTCTGTTGCAGCTAGAACAGAAACTTGGGGCTGCCCCGTGTGGCCTCTCTGCTGGCGTCTCTGTCCCTGCTGAGCCCCTGGCCCTCCACGTTGGCCTATTGTTTTCTAGCAATGGTCTTGTCCGTCCTCTTCTCCCAATTCAGGGACTTGGCTTTGCCAGGATTGCTCCTCTCTGCTGGGAATGACCAGAAGTGGGTCTCCGGGCTGCCACTGCCCCCTCAAGGCCCTCCTGCAACAACTCCCAGTTCCCCAGCTGTCTGTTGTGAGGGAGACATTCTCTTGCCCTCCCATGCCTTTGACATGCACCTCCCCAAGCTCCTCAGGTTTTTTCCTTGGGTTGAACTAAGACACCAGTGTATGTTCCCTTGGCAAGGGAGTATGGGTAAACAGCCTGCCCCATCATCCTCATTCTGGTGGAGACAGCGCCCCCTAGTGGGCTGCCTGAATTAGAACATTGTGAACTGGATCCCAAATAGACAGGAACACCAAAAAATGTTTCTTCAAACCAAGAGGCTTTCGAGAGGGACAGAAATGCTGTGATTACACACGGGTAACAGGTACAAACCACCCCACCTTGGGCAAATGGTGCAAAGGGTCCCCCTAAACGCAGCCGGCTTTTCCCGGAGGTAGGTCTGGAGAAAGGAAGGTGAAGGGGCGTGGAAAGGAGTGACAGTGACATCACTAGGCGAATGGTACTGATCTTCAGGCCTCACTCAGCTTATTCCAGCCAGTTAAGTGGTTCCACCCAGCACAGTAGTGAGCGAGATCAGGGAGGGCCCGGGAGAGGGAGCCGGATAAATGGTTCCAAGGTAGATATAAAGCAGCAGCCTGGCATTTTTTGCCTTCATTTAAAGACAGTGTTATGAGAAAAAATTTCAAAGGAAGTGTTATTACTTCCATACGTACACTAACTGTATTAGATATCTTACATGTGGCCCAAGAGAATTCCTCTTCACTCAAAGACAGAGGGCAAAACAAAAGGCAGGCTGTGGGCTGCTCAGAGGTCGAGACCAGGACACGCGGGAAGCACAGAGGAGCAGCCAGCCCTGCTAGCAGTCAGGGAAGGCGCCCTGGAGGAGGAAGCGAGCACAGAGTCTGCAGTGGTCAGCAGGAGGAAGGCCGCTAGGAAGGGAGCCCGGCAGCCCAGCCAGGGCAGAAGGCAGTGTGGAGCGAATGCCACGTTGGGGTTGTGGAGCCCTGGGTCAGAGCGTGCTGGGCCGGGATTGCTGGGTAGGGTGTGGGTCCTGGAGGCGTGGGAGCCATCCGGGGCTCAGTCACAGGTGCGTGTGGCGGCAGAGAGGGGCTCACGAGGTGGGCAGGTTGGAGGGAGGAAGTGGGTCTGCCCAGAGTGGGTGTGGGGAGCGGGGCGGGGGCCCACATTCCGGTGGCATCGAGGCAGCCACAGGCCGACTGCGTCCCGGGCTGAGTGCTGTGAGGAAGGTGCAGGAGCGGTGCTCAGCCGAGTAGCACCAGGCACGCGTCCCCTGGTCACCTGGCTTGGCACCGAGCAGCCGGGGCTCTGAGCAGACTTTAACGCCCTCTCCCCTGCCCAGGTGGAAAGGAGACTATGGCACCCGAATCCAGCAGTACTTCCCGTCCAACTACGTGGAGGACATTTCCACGGCGGATGGGGAGGAGCTGGAGAAGCAGGTGAGTCTCCCTCACATCCTCAGGAAGAA